TTATTTAGTTATATATTTGGTTGCCTGCTTTGCTTTAGAATAAAGACATCTGAATGTGTTCCCTGTGTTCTGTAGGTACAAGATTCAGTTGGTCTTGCTTGACTCAACGGGAGAGGCACCTTTTTATTGTTTTTGGGCCAACAGGTAATAATCTGGTGTTCACGTCTGCCCACGTACTTGCTCAGAGATATCCTCAAAGAAATGGCCAGCTGCCACCTGAGCTAAGTAATTTGATAGGCCAGTTTGTCAGGTTTGAAGTAAAGCTTCCTATGATGAGTGTTAATGGAGTATCCACTGGAGAGTTCAGGGTGTTCCGAGTGCTTCCTTAGGATAATCACGGTCTACTGCCCGCTGTTGTTGCTCCGGTGCAAACAATTACTGGTGGAACCCAGGGTTGGCTTGCTTTGCAGGGCACGCCTGAACAGTGTGGAGTGCTTATGCTGACTGGACCAACTGATTCATTGCCTATGAGAAGTTCTATTTCTACTCCATCCAGGTTTGAAATTTCCCTTAAATGTTTTTGTGGTCTCTTGACGATTACCTCCTGTCGATGTTTGGGTTATGAGTTCAGAACTGATGTTTTTTGTCATTTAACAGTTCGTCCAAGGGCAAGGCAAAGGCCACTGGACCACTATTGTTTGAGAACAGCAATCCAACCTTTTCATATGTGCCAGGCAACAGGGCAGCCTCTCAGGTGATTTCTTGATTTTACCCTATTTTTATTTCACTGGCTGGGAAACTGCTAACAGATCTTGTGTCATTTTACAGTCAATATCAATGTCCATTGGTCGTTAGGGAAGGTGCTGGTCTTGTGCCTTTGGGACCTCAAACTTTATCACAACCCATTCCCATCAGAACTTCTTCTGCACCTGCCAGTACTGGGGAGCTGCCCAAACAGCCTTCTGGATCGGTTGTCTCCGAGGCTCAAATTGCATTTCTTGGAAGTCCTGCAAGCTTACCAGACTCTGCTCGTGTGAGGGTTGTTGGTGATGTAAAGAGTCCTGAGATTAAGCCATCTTTGCCACAGGGCAGTGTTGTTGATTTAATGAGTTCGTGTGAGCAACCATCTCTGCCTTCATCGGGTGAAGTTGGGAAGGAGTTTGCGACTCCTCAAAGTAAGGTTAGTAAGACATCATCTTCGTCGGGTGAAATCAGGGAAGAGTTTGGAACTCTTCAGAGTAAGATTAGCAAAACATCATCTACATCAACACCCTCTTCATCCCCGTCGGCAAATCTGTGAGGCGTTTTGGTTACTATATTATTCTGCAACTGTGCTGGAATGTGAGTTTTTTTGTTTTGATTGATCTAATTCTTTTGAAAAGATCCAGGTTGGTGTCATCGTTGGCAAAGGTGAAGGTTGAAAAACTGGAATCTTCAGGATCTAGGGAGCTTGAAAGTGGAAGCTCCTATGGACCTGCTCAGAGTCTGTCAGCCTTTTCACTTGAGAACATGGCTTCATCGCAAGCATCTGTCAAGAAATCCTCAGCTAAGCGTCTCCTGTACGAAAAATAAGGTATTGGGTGTGCTTACGACATTGCAAGGAAAATATCAGTGTTCTACTATCATGAAATCCCATCTCAGGATTTGTTTGTCGTAAGCAAAATGTTATTTGTCTATATTACTTTGTTACATTTAATACGGTGTGTCCTGCAATTCAAAGAGACAAAAACATAAAAACAATATATTCACTCATCTTTCATCCCCCCCTCCCCTCTTTCTTATTTCACTCTCAAACTGTTCTCTCTCTCTCTTTTTTTGTCTCTCCTCATTTTTATCCTGAAGGTAACTTTATGATTACTAGTTCTTTACATGACGATTACTTGGACTAACCAACTGGATAATAGTATGGGTGAGAAAATATTAATATTAGTTCACTTTATGTTACAAATCTTCTTCCTCTCACTCACCTCAATAAAAAATGAAAAGAGATGGAGCGAGCAAGTGAGAGAGGAAACACATAAAGGAACATATGATTACGGTTACTAGTTCGTTTGTTATGAATACATGTTCTTCTATGTAACAAATACATGTTCAGATGTTTTTTCAATAATAGTTTATGTCCTTATGAATACTTGTCGTATATGTTATAAATACTTGTCCCTAAATTTAAGATAATATGATTTAAATTGGCAAAAAATACGAGTTCACCTAGTATTGAATATGAGTTGACCTGAACTCAGAACATGCCTTTACGAATATCAGGTAAGTGTCATACCAATATGAGTTAAAACATAAAAGAATAATATTACAATGAGCTCCAACAGGTATTCTCATATTTAGTGTCTACGGAAAAACAATCCATTTACCATTTTCGGTACTAGTTCAACTCATATTCATGTAGGTGTCAACACATATTCAATACACTGTAACCTGATATCCAGTGTCAATTTATGGTATAAGTGTATTCAGCGCATAGTTAACATGTATGCACTTAGAATGAAATTAAGTTTACCTAATATGACTTAATTTGATACTTAATATGATTTGAACAGACAATGAATATAAGATTACATGGTATCATATCAACTCATATATCTCCAAATTTTAATGTATATTCAATATCAGGTAAACTAATATTACATGTAAGCTCATCTCATATTCACTACCAAGTAAACTCATGTAAGCTCAACTCATATTCAACTAACACAATTACAAATTCAACACGTGTACAATCAATATTCGTAAATAAGAGAAAATATATGTTCAACTCATATTCGAAACAAATAGAGGGGGAGATTGAACTATTCTATCATTCTTTCCACTAAATGCTTGTTTCATGTCTCCATCCATACCTCCAGCAACTCAAACCCTCGAATAAACATAGGAATCATCTTGAAGGTAAACAAGAAACCAAAATCCTAAAAATAGTTGATTTAAAAGCTCTAATCTTCTCAACTAACCATCAAACCATTATAAAAATACAGTTTATGTATAAAACTCAGAAGGGTGAGAAAGGAGAAGGAGAAGAACAAAAAGATAGGGAATGAAACCAATACCTCTGGTCTTCTTTTCAATTTCGGAGTAGAGTCTCGAACCTTTCACAGTAGTTGGTTTCACGCGTTAAAAATTCTGATCTTCAAAAAATCTTCAAGAACACAAAAGAACAAACAAGGAACAATTGTCAGATTTGAGAGAAGGAGAAGAGAAAGAAAGGAGAGAGCGCCAATGGGTCCACAAGGGGGGGGGGGGATGTTAAGCTTCATTTAGCCATTTAAACCCCTTCTTTAGCCCTTCTTTCAGCCAAACAACCTAAGCCCTATATATTTATTTTTGATGATGTGGAAAGATCCTTACCATTTGATCACATGCTCACAAAAATGGCCATGAGCACCATAGCGAAATTGATCCCTGAGGATGTTGCATTTATTCTCACTCCATTATCTAATTAACATCGAGCTCTTTTGTTAGTATCTACGATCCCATTCTTCAAACCTACAACTAGTGTAATCCCACTTTCTTACTCATTGAATTGTTGCTAGCTTTACTTCAATTAGCGATCTACGTCTTCACCGCACATAGAACCTATGCAGCCGTGCTAATTAAAATGAAATCATGAATGATTTTTTAGTAGGATACATTTAAAGGGACATCCTTGATAGTGTGGATGATTGTATTTTACATACTGTTGAATGTAAACATACGACATGAATCATTGTAAAACATCAATAAATGTTTTCTTTTCTTTTAAGGTTGGACCTACCTGAGTAAATTTTTTGGCTAGACTGTATATCATTATTTTACAGGTAATAACCCATTTGCCTCCTCATGCTTAAGCATGAATTGTAAAGATGAGTAAATTGCAACTATAATACTAGTTTAAGTGGCCCATTATATTTTCTCATCTTCCTGTTTCAGTTCTCATATTTCTTTTAATTTTAATTAACTAAACCATTTTGAATCCATGAATCCATGAAACCATTCAATCAACCATTGAACAGGGAGGTGCACATTGTGCTCTAAAATTGTTTACCCTGCACAATTGTGACTCCTTTGCAAACTTGGTAATTTATTCTAAAATGCATGTTGCTTCCATCATTCAAGCTTTTATCCTAATCTTATCCTTGATATCAATGAATAAGGGGCTCTCCAAAGGCCATGTAGGTCTAAAATATTAAGAGTTGTAAGACTCAAATAAAAAAAATTGTAATATATATGTTTAACAACAAATTATCAAACCATGTAATAACCGAAGACAATATGCTATATATAATTAATTAATTATGATATGTAATTATATATATGCGATTAGTGTCAATTAGGTCATGATTCTCATATTTATTTTCAAGGAAGTTTGTGACTGATCACACATGCTTTTATCGTCATCCTCTCTAATTATCTAGATGAAAAAGAGTATATGGGTTGGTGGCTTGGTGCAAACACATTAGCCTAACTATATATCCCGACTAGTTTGGTTTCATCACACTCATATCCACGTAAGGTTAGGTTATGCTAATTAAATTCATACCCATATATATGGATATCGAATATCAATGACTATCACAGGTTATACTATCTTTTCCTTTCTAATTCATTAGGTATGATAATTTCAAGCACTTTTTCACATTACATGAGTAAAAAAGTGAACCGTTGAACTAATAAAATAATAAGGTACGCGCGATGCAAAAGATAAGACACCAACTCATGTGAATATGATGTTATAAATAGTGTATAGAAAGAAATGATGACGAACAATAGAATGAGGTATAGGACGAAATTACAGTTTAGATATCGCAATCCTTTTACCAACGAGTACATAATTGAACCCCCAGCCATTGAGGATTGCCGGGGACAAAAAATGTCATATCAAACTTAATGAAGAGGAAGTCAATTGCCTCCCAAACCCAACACAATGGGGAAAAAAAGTTTGACCAACAAGAAGTAACCACACTAGCTAGTTCTACCTCCCCAAACGAGGAAGAAAAAATTTAAAGAAGCTTATAGAACAGGAAAGGAAAATACTTGAGCAAACTAATCCGTCCGTAGATCCAAATCCAATTGGTTAAACCTTAAACAATTGATTTGGCGTACATGCTTGGTTCCACAGATCCAGTTAGTCCAAGTATTTCTTCCTGAAAACATGAACAAGAAATCCATACAAACAAACATAGGAGGACGACAACCTTCCTCTGCAGAATCCAAAGCGGGTGTGTGTGTGTGTGTCACGTCACATGAACTTGAGAAACGCCAGCCTCAGATTCTTCACCAGCTCAATCACTTTCATGGAGAACTCACCATCCATCTGTAATAATATTGTCCCACATCATCAATTACTGCTCATCATTCGAATACAAAAATGCGTCAATATGGAGTTAGTTAGTTAGTTAGGTTACCTGAGCGACGATGGTGATGTCGAGGGTGGAGTTCCCAAAGGGCAGCACGCTGCTATTGACGATGGAGAGACGGAGCGACTCGACCTCGCTCAGGACCTTGGCGAGCACGCCAGGCTGTTTCTCGCAGTGGATGCGGATCATCACGTCCCTCTCCGACGCCCGCGCTTCGATCTCCGGCAGCGTGGAATCGGAGCATCCCTTGTCCAGTACTGATTTGCGTCTGGCATCGTCGTCGGCGTCATCATTAGAAGAAGAATTAGAGTGATCATCGTCGTCGTCCGCAGCAGGGAGGTGATATCTCTTGACCAGAACCACAGACTCCACCGTCCTCTTCTTGGTCTGCTCCTCCAGCTGCTTTATCTTTTCCTGGAGATGCTTCACGTACTTTATTGCATCCCCAAGCACCGAAGCCTTGTCCATCTATAAACCCATTAAAAACAAATCACCAATTAAAATCTCGAAACAAAATCTTTATAGTTTTTCTTAGTAATAACTGCTATATGATCTCTGTAATCGATTCAACAATTCGAGTTATCGAGATTATCTGATTTTTGACAATGTATTAGAGATTTGTATAACCGATAAATGATATTTTGATGCACATTCAAATTACAAGTCATTTTGAGATGGCGCTCATTTAAGATCTAAGGGATCGCGAATCACTTTGATTAAACACGCTTCACACCTATTAATTGTGTTTAATTTTGCCTAAATATTACTTTAGATATTATGAATGTCTAATTATCTGCCTAGAATAGTAGAATTTAGGCGTCACATCTTCTTGGACCATGCTTGGAATCTCGGAAAGGAGAGGGAGAGAAAAAAAGGGTATTTATTACCTTCTTGAGGCCAGGGACGATGGAAGAGAGAGCAATGAACCTCTGGCTGAGCTTCTCCCGGCGCTTTCTCTCGGCCAAGATGTGGTCTTGAGCGTGGGAAGGGCTTCTCGTGGTGGTTGCCGCCATGGACGAGAAAGGACGAGTCTTGATCATACCCTTTGGAGCGTAGACGGTGTTCTCAAATGGGTCGCTGCTGTTGTAGCTGTTCCTGTTCGGAATCATGAGATTGGCAGTATGATGGAAAAGCAAGTCAGCAGCAGCAGCCTCGTCTTTGGGCTGGACCGTGGGGTCTGAACTGTTGTTGTTTCTGGAGAAAGGCAGGAGGGAGGAAGAGTTGGCGTTGTTGTTGTTGTCGAAGGAGAGCATTTGGGAGGTGTGGGAGGAAGAGAAATCGATGTGGTTGTGGTGGTGGTCGGTCGTCACGCTCGAGCTCCAACTGTTGGTCCTCTTCTGCTGCTTGGCGGGCCGGCTGTGATGATGGTCGTAGCTCTGCTGTGAGGTTTCGTTCATGGAATTAGAGCCGCTTCTGGTTGCGGCCGGGACCATGGTGGAAACGGCAACGTTTGGGGTCGTGTGATGGAAGGTGGCGCCGGAGTAAGATGAGTAGCTCTCGGAAGAGAAAGATGGCTGGAGGCTGGAAAGGGATTCGCCGCCGGCAGCAGCAGCAGCAGCCACGTGGAGCTGCGTTGGTGGGTTGGTGTTGAACTCGTCGTCTTGCAGCTGGGAGTTGATTGTGTCGCAGTGTTGGAAGAACTTGTAATCCTCCATTTCCTGTCAATTACATAGAAAATAAGTATCATGAAGAAGAAGAAGAAGCAGAAGAAGCAGAAGAAGAAGGAGAAGAAGAAGCAGAAGAAGAAGAAGTAATCAATAGAGATTAGTTGCATACCAATTCGTTCATGAACCATTTGCTATCCATGAGAGGCAGAGATGTATGAAGAGGACCCTAAGCTGATGAGAGATTAATTTTTGTAAGAAGAGCATAACACAAAGCTAGCTAATTTCTGGTGTCTATATAACAGGGTAAGGGGTTTGGAGCGGAAGTATGAAATCAAATTCCTCTCTAACCCACGTGTGAATTGTTTCTATTCAATTGTTAATTAGTAATATCATTGTCATTAGTTGGCTAGTTGATTTGTCTCCATTCCCTTGCATTATTGTATTGGGTTAATTATATGGGGTTTCCCCCAATAAGGTCTACAAACCAGGCTACTCACCGCTAGTTTTCAATTCATTCATTTTGGTCCTCTGTAAGACAGTTATCCTGACAAATTCATAATCAAAATGAGAACCGATTAAAAATAAGATAATTATTGTCACAGTTTTTAATCAGTTGGGGAGAGGGGCAAATTTTAAATTAAAATCTCAATTCATTCCTTTTGATCCTCTGCAACCGTGACGAAGGCACGACTGAAATGAGAATAGACCATAAATAAAACATATATCACAATTTTTAATGAACAAAACTAGGATTGGAAGAGATGGGAAAATCCTATATTTTAAATAAAAAACTCTGAATTCTGAACTTCTAATTCCAACAACTAACAACTTACAGTCCTATCATTCTTCTAATTTTGCTCAACACTTGTAGACACATATCATAAAACGACTCAAATTACGGCGTTTCATCTTATTGTTCGAATAACATAGTGCGAACCTCAATGTAGGTATCTCGTGACAATTTCAATCCTTGCAATTCATATTAGCGTAATTTCAGGAGTTAAGGGACCAAATAGTCGACTAGGCTAAATTCAGAGGACCTGAGGGTATAGTTACATTGATGAATAGGTGTTTGGCACATCTGCTCTTTTGGCAGTACTCCAATGAAGGATGTGGTCTCCGATACCTTTTTCTCTCTTCCTTATTTTTGCAACATTAAGGTATCAATCCCTTAAACTAAACATTTTTCTGGGAGTAAACTGATTGGTTGAGATGGAGACAATGCGACATGGCCATTCAGAGACCTACTGAAAGAAACAGAGCAGTATGTTCGGCGGAGATTTTCGTATCCAGAAAAGAACTATTTTGTATTCCAAATGCCCATATTTTTATCTCTAATATTAAATAATAAATGCACAATTATCATTTGCCGGTCGTCTGAACGGCTGTTATCGCGGTATCTAATGAGCTTATATGATTGTTAATCAGTCAATTTAGTTTGTTAAAAAGGGTCCTAATCATTTGGTTTTGCGGACTTGCTTTCGACTAGGGCTGGGAAAATAGACCAGACCGTTAGAAAACCGTGGTCCAAACCGTACCGCACAGTTTGGTCCGGACCGTGAAGTATGGTCTGGTCTGGTCCATGGTCTGTATTATTTTATGATTTGATCTCTTGGTCTGGTCTGCTCTAGACCGTGGTTTACCGAACCAAACCGTGGACCCAACTAACTTGTCAATACGTGTTAACAGCCCATTCGACCACTCTCCAAACTCCCACAACGACACCCAAGTCTCAACCTTAATTTTGTGAATCTCTTCCCTCCTTCATTCACAACCACATTTAACCAGAGAGTAGAGATAATAGTGTCTCCATATGACATTATGTTAATGTTTATGACGTAATGGTGCAAGCTGGGATGTTTTTACTTTGTATCTTTGTTATGTACTAAGATTTAGAGTATCAAAATTATTCATGCATGTTAGGATTAATGTTTTAAGGAAAATAACAATTATTTTTCTTGGTTATTGGTTCAATTTTCTGTGTGGTTGACTAAACAAATTATTCATTTTTCGTTGAGTGTGGTCTATCTAGACCAGACCAGACCGCACAGGCGTGGTCTGGACCGGACCATATAATTATATGTGGTCTGGTCTGTGGTCTATACTTTAGCCTCTCGGTCTGGACCATAGACCGTGTATATGATCTGGTCTGGACCAGACCGCACCGTTCCCAGCCTACTTTCCACAATCATATCTTTGCGGCTAGTCATCTTCCGCAGCATCCTAATCTCCAATTGCAATCGCAAGGTATTCTCTTCTTGGGTAATATTGGGAGGCCGAAAAAATATCATTTTTCTTGTATATTAGTCAAATATTTGGATACATCTAAAATTGTAAATATTATCTCAAATATTTGGGGTAAGAACTATTAAAACATTCATCACACTCTGATTTTGATTCGAACCTTGAAGATAAACAATAAATGATAAGAAAAAATGAATTATTTGAACATTTATTCACATAAACGTTGGTTTCAAACACTTGTCTTTTTATACTGATTGATAATAATTTTCGAATATATAAATTTATTAGATCAGAAAAAGATACAGATACATGTGATGTAATATCATGCACAATGAATTACATATTGTTGATATAAACAACATAATTTTATGATATAGGTAAATCTAATGCACGTAAATTAAAATAATTAGTTTATTTAATTTCTTATGGGAGTAAGCCTAGATTACCACGGAATTAGCATTTACAAAATGATTCATTAACTCAAATATAGACATTTGAGAAATGTAGATGTTTACAAAAGTATTGTTTGTTTAAAAGTTTGAGGATGAGTCATTTGTACAATGTTAATATTTTGCCATTACATTTAATATGTTTCATTGTCTTGTTGTTTATCCTAATATAACTATCCACGTAAGCAAAATCATTTTTAACCAACAAAATATATTATTTGGATGAGTCATTTGAGACTTTCGTATAAACGAAACGACTCATACAATTTTTGTTAGCAAACAAAGTCATTTGGTATCGAATGACTCATAGAAATGGTTCAAGCAAACATCCCTTGATCTTATGCGCCATACTTCACGACCTGAGCAGTAAGTAATGTTTGTGACCATTTAGCCAAAGTTGGGGCAGACCATCTGGGACACAGCTAAAATTTAAGGAAAAAATTCTTGTAGTTGTTTCGAGTTTGCACGAGTCTTTGACCTTGTGATTATATCAAAGGAGATGTTATCCATTACACCACAATCGAAACCAATATTCATTTAGTGTTGGTCTCCTCTCAATCGAACACACCAATAAAAAAGCAGCCTTCTCGACTCGAGGATATTCCATCTTCTTCTCCATTTTTTTAGTCTTGTGAGAACCCATCCAATCTAGTCATCCGGGCCTTCGAGAATTATTACCATTGGGTTAAGAATGATGAGAGATTTATTAGATTGAAAAGAATTAATGAATCCGTTGCAACTAGAAGTGTTGAAAAATCATTTTAGCTTTGAGATACATGAAGACTGAAGAGTAAGATTCAACATCAAATAGGCGATCAATTCGTAAATCATTATCTAGTAGGAGAAACCCATTGATGGAATGAAACCCTCAACATTTCCCCTTTCGTTTATCAGCTGGGACAAAAACTAGTTGGACAATAAGCCACATCGATCTCCGATTGAAAAAAAAAAAAGAAATTGAAATGAAAACCTTATATTTTTAAATAAACTATGAGGAGACTTATTCCTGCCCACATGGGTGCAAAATGTATATCCTTTTCCAAATGATTAGAAAACAATTGGTTTCACAATAATAATCAATCTTTTATGTAGCTCCAGCTTTGCTTGCTTCTCCTTCCTTGTTGGAAAAACAGTACTATCTAGTTGACAATTATTAGTAGCATGTCAGAGTGCAATACAATTTCCCAATATATCCTACTACATAGTTGTTGGCATGTTTATGTCAATCATGATCAACCCTTTAACCGAGCAACTTGTTTACACACAAGACCCAAAAGAATACTATAAGAAAGGTGTACTTACTTGCCAACTGAAGCAAACAGGTCACCTACCATTTTGTTGATAATATTAATCAAATTTAGTTTGATAGACAACTGAGCTAGCTAGGGAAAGGCGGAGAGATCTTATTTCGTATGGAACACCTTAGCGCAATCATGGGACTTGGACCTAAATGTGCCACCGCAGCTAACAACAATAGAATGACCATTTAACTATAGTCTGAGAGAGCTTGCATTTTAACTGCAGATGGATCTGAAGCAGAGACCGACGATAGAGGTGATGAAACTACACTAATTGTGAACTGGATTGTGTTTGGATTTTTTATGTTGTGCATGGGAATGAAATGATAAATAGTTAAAAAAAACTCTTTAAAGTACTACATTGATGAGATATGGTAAAGGTCAAATTGGTTTTGGTAACCAACGGAACCAAAATGGGATGAACCGAATCAAATCGAAGTGGTGGTTTAAATGAAGCAACAGTTTCAACTTCCATGTGACGAATCAATGCAATGGTTGGATATTTTTGAACGAACCAAAGCAATGGTTCGGGCTCAACCATGCACCCAACCGATGAGTTTCCTGCCTTCGCATGCACCCCCTTCATTTTTTTTTTAATAAATAGCAACAACCCCTCTGGTTTTATGAGTGAAGTTTTTTCAACAAGATTTTTCTTACTGAAACTCTGCTTAAATTTATTTTTCTTTATTCGTTGGAAAAGAAAAATTGAGTCATTGTAGTTCTCTTCGATTCATTGCTTTCGTTGATTTTTGGGGTTTGAGGTACCGGTACGTCGAAAAAGATACGTCGATCATAAGAGGAATCATTTTGTAACCTTGGGTACTAGAAAGTAGAGGGAGAGTAAGCATCTTTGAGGATAGACAATGTATTATGTCGGCTATAACAATTGTATGCATTTGCATGATTTTTATGATCTTGTATGTTACTCGTGGACGGGCGGACAACTTTTGTCTTTTCTTGGAAAGTGCCTACTCGTGTAGTTTGTTAGGTAAGGGCTAAAACTAAAAAGAGCCCCCCACCCCCACCCCCACCAAACCCCAACCCTACAGACTATATTGTCTTGTGTTGTAATGTTGTTGGGTATCCATTCCCCAACAGTGCTGTTGGTTACGTTACAAAAAAAAAAAAAAAAACAAAAGAGCTCCCAATCTCATTAGCAAGATTGCGGGGAGTAAAGAAATTTTGTTGTTGATCATGAGACGCATCCAGGAAGCCGGAAAGTGCATGCAGAGATCGAAAAATTAAAGTACATTTAGAACCGGACTGTATCATGAAGGGGGTTCTGTTGTTTAAGCTTCTGACTAAATTATTCTGGTATCATTGTAATAGAGAGGGATTGTAGTGTAAGAACTATGGATCTAGTTGTTATAGGGTTTCCATAACAGAAAATAGTAACATATGATAGGATTATTGGAGATTAAGGAAATAAAGAAGGTTATAGTTAGAATTATTAAGTCCCAAGTTTCAAAAAATTCGGAGTTACGGTTCACTACAAAATTTTCGCGGTAGTGTTCACGGAGATGCAATGATCTGCTGCTGTTAGTCCTAACTTAAACCCATGGATACCTCTTTGGGCAGATCAAACATAACCTTTGATTAATTATTTGTGTAGCTAATTTTAGTCGTTGGATTATGATGTTATTCCTCCTCTCTCCTCCTCTCTATGTTTCATTCTCCGCTTAGACCCTTCTTCTCACTTTTTGGGCAATCAACTCTCACCTCTCTCCTTATTCTCTTTTTCATTCTCCGATCCTTCTCCCCTCTCTCTCAATCAAATTAAAGAAGAGCACTGGTTGGCTTAGTCGGCGATTCCTTTTTCCGGAGCGGCGTTTGATTTCCCCTCTCTCTGACCTCCCTAAACCCATTGGACGGCACGCCGACGGGAGACGGTGGCGACGAATGATAACGGCGATTGACAACGAAGACGACATCGGATAACAATATAGAAGAAACGATGGCTCCATTTCTCTTCTTCTCAATCGAGTGGAATCAATCAATTGCGGTTTGAGAGCTTTGATTTCCCCTTCTTTTCCTGCTCTGAACCCACCCGCAACGGTGTACAAGAACTGAAGGAAGGGAGATGACGACAGCGGCGACAATCAATTGATGAAGAATTCCACTTCACCATCTCTGCCCCCTCTTCTGATCCGAAAGAAAAGTCTATGTGTGACGGATGATGAATCGCTGGGAAGGAAGGCCCCCTAGGCCCTACTGTCAATATCGAGTAAAACCCAGAAGAGGTAAGATGGAACTCCAATTAAATTAAGACAAAATTAGAACTAGTGATTGTCATTCTTCCATTCTTCATCCAAGGTAATAGAAACGGTAAATGCAGTTCTTTTTCTTTTTTTGTTCATTCGATTGCATTTTTTGGTTTTGCGAATCTGGGCGGCCTCCTTATTGGGAATAGGTCTGTATCGCTCAGGCATTTGGTTTTCTAGAGTTCGAAACCCCAGATTTGGTAGCAGCTATCATCAGATTGGAACATTGGTTTTCTCAAAATGGTACTCTTGCAGATTGATTATACTATTTGTGCTAATTGTGATTTGGTGACTTGAATCGACTTGAAGGGGGATATTAATTCTTTATAAGTTAGGTTGTTTCTAAGTACATGCAGAGAAGATGCATACTCTTGATATCAGCTTTTAGCCCCCATTTTAAAGAGGTTTCCCATATTTCCTTCCTCAGAAACAACCTCTGTTGCTGGTTATTGGTTTCATTCATCATATTGCTTTCTGTTTTACCTTGATTTTTTATGCCTTGATGATGGATATAAGATACCAATAACCTTTGCTTTTGTTGCTGTGAACAGTTGTAAGTCATCCAAACCAAACTCCAGACTTGCCTATGTCACTATTATCGTTTGCCATCCACCATGAGAACCATTTCTTCTTCTTGCAAAGAAGCAATGACATTTTCAACTCAGAATTGTTTGCTTGCTCAGTTGATGATGTTTCCTCACCTTCGTTTATCATTCCTCACAGAGATATGTGAGCTTGAATATCTTTTGCCATGACCTCCTTTTGTTTCCCCTTCTTTTATAATTAAGATGGAAATGTTGTTAGTTTCATGCTTCTCTTTACGATGAAATTAGCATAATGAGTTCTGAATTTTGGTTTGTTAGAATTCATATTTCAATGCAATTTGATTCCTCCACTTACTCTAATGGAAGTTGGTTGAATGACTTCGAAACCAATACTTAGGTATTAGAGATAAATAACTAGAATACATGACTATCTTGATAATAAAAGAACTGATTGAATAGTTTATCTTCTGAACATATGACTTTATCCAACCGCCAAAGTAGTTAGTTGTGACGGTGTAATACGAATGGAGTAACTTGATCAAACTGCTAAAACTATTTCTTCTGATGCTATGAAGTAAGACCTCTATGCTACATTACTTCTTTTATAAGTTAACTGCTATATTTAGGATATGCTTTTTAGTATTACATCAAAGTTATATGATGATAATGATAGTTCCAGGAGATTGAAGGTAATATGCACATTGTTTCTTATGCCAACTAATTTCGCTTTTGGTAGTTAATTGTTGTATTTAGGATAAACTTTTGAGTATTGCATACAAGTTATATGATACAATGATACTTCCAGATTAAAGTTATAGTATGCATATTGTTCTTATACCAACTAATTATATAAAGTTCTACAACTTGCAGCTCTAATGGTAGCTTGGTTTCTAGGCTCTTAATAACTTGAAATCTTGATGCAAGTCTTTGGATGCATTTCTCAGAAGCTGTGTTTGAGCAAACCCGTAGTAATTGTAATGGGATGGGATACTTTAACTTATTAATTACAGAATAAGGAGTAAGCTTTACTGTCTAATACTTACTGAACCTTAACATAGAACATACCACTCCATGTATTCTTCATATGATATTTTGTTGAGAATGTGCTCCATTCTGCTTTCCTTTCTCGTTTCCCAATGATTCTCGGCTTCTAATGGGAGAATCATAAGTTCTCCACATGATCCACTGTTATGTTTGATAGTATCTCAACCAATAGGCAATAAGTGGGCACATTAACGGAAAACCCTCCTCTACGAGATCATTTCAAATGTATTTCTAACATTTCTTCATGCATTCATAAGAAGGTAGTTACTCTTTTTTTTTTTTTTTTTTTTGAGAAGGTAGTTACTCTTATGCATGCTATGGGCTTTTATCATAGTAAATAACATAAATTTACTAAGTTGAAGTTTGTTTTCAAGAATATAATTGTGCGTGAATGTTTGAATAGATTGAGGAGACCATTGCATATAAAGCATCGTGCAAGCTATTATATTCTATCAAAGCCAAAAACCAGTAGAGAAATCACTTTCTCCATCAATTACTTCACTGTGTATTGTATGAGAATTCTACTTGATACTTTACAATCAAACAAACCTGTAGCTTCCTTGCCACGTATTTCTATAGTTCTCTTTGTTGTCATGGTTGTGTTCCTTGAAATGAATGGTAATATAATTTGCAAAAATTTAAGTGGTTTTCCGGGGCGAAGCACGGGCCATATAGCTAGTTATAAATAATCAACAAAGTAATCATTAATTAAAAGGAATTTCATTAAGAGAATAATAATGCACGTGAAAAACACCAATATTTAAAAATAATAATGAAAGTTATAAAGAGAAAATCCAGAACTTGAAATGGAAAGAACTAAATACAGTACAACAATAATTGTTATAATAAAATTGCCACCAAATCAGGGAATGATATACCACATTCTGTCAATAGCTCGCATGAAATTCCTCTTTTTATTTCAATTTGTAAGTAAAGGAGAACCAAAATTATAGGATCTGGAACAAATCATATTTAAAAAATTAAAAGACAGTTAAGAAACGCAAATTACGGAAAATAAAAACTGAAGGCATTAAATAACAAGCAATTCCGGCCACCGGCCGACGTTCCAGGAGTGACGAACGGAAAAGGTACCTGCCAAGCTGAAAGCATATGCAAATCATAAGATCCATGTAAGATCACAACTGATTAACAGTCTTCCCTCCTTTTTTGCTCCATTTCCATCGGAGTGAGCCTCGCAAACCCCTTAGGAGAAAGATGTAGTCTCGGCGTTGTTGCCGCCGGAGCTATTGTCATAGTGGGAGCCCCTATGCCAGTCTTCGACCCAGTGGTACATCCTACTCCACTACTCTAGGTCAATTGTCAGGAATTGTAGGAAAGAATTGGATTGAATGCGTGATTAATCACTCTATTTAGAGTTATTTGCCCCCACTACAAATTGCTGGTAGGCTCGAGTAAACCACCCCAGGAGTCCCTTCAATTTTAAGTCTGGAAGCAGCAATCTTGCAGACTTCTGTGTTTGTGAAATAGAGAAGGAAAACCGGAAGAAGAAGTAATCTCTCGTCATTAAAAGAGTTATGGCAGTCATCTATTTATAGTTGTGAAAACTGGAAGTTACCTTCCGAAGAGTCACATCCCTTCATAGAAAAGGTAGTTACCTTTATGGAAGGACATATCCTTTCACAGAAAAAAGGGAGTTACCTTTATGGAAGGACACTTCTTTTCACAATATTCAAACGTTAATTAATTAATATAAAATTAATTAATTAATTAAATTGCCAAAAGACTCCATCTTTATAATTTAATTCTCCCATCAATTTCGTATTACAACTCTATTGACTAACTCTAACAATCCCCCGCTTAGTCAACAAGAGTTGAGAATACCTGCCTCGAACAAATAGCGCATACATAAATGTATATTTTCGATTTGAACCTTTACCTAGTGTAAGCAACTCAAAGTTGATAACGAATCAGTGACGGGCTTAAGCCTAGGAGTCACGATCCAAAGTTATAACCGGAGATGCCACACACGTATTTGTCTCTTCTCTAAACCACAACCACCAACTAGGGTAGCACTATTATAGCCATGTGCTAATCCTGTTTCATGAGCATACACAAAAGTTGACCTCTACTTTTGTTAGAGCGGCACCACTCTAAATACTCACATAGGTGACATTCCAAATGAATTCATTATGAGTTCTATAACTCAGCCTTCTTTGGACTAATTTACTTGTACAATAAATTAGTGCCTCTGTTAGAGTAACTTGTTATTACCACATTGAACCTTTTAATTAGTGAATACCTAAAGAAAAGGTTGGGTTCCCATTACTTCTAACTGCACAAAAAGGTCTTAATCCCATCCCTTGGGGTATCTCATAGATCATGCCTCTTGGCTATCCCTTGGCAAGAGGATCTGCCAAATTATTGCTTGATCTTACATACACAATAGAAATGATTACATTAATAATCAAATATCTAACGTAACCATGTCTTAGGCTATTATGTCTAGACTTACCATTGTAAATCTTGCTATAAGCTTTAGACAAAGTAGCCTCACTATCACAAAAGACAGAAATGGCTGGCATCGGTTGTGGCCACAACTTTGTACTTAACAACATGCCTCTTAGCCATTCTACATCTTTTCCAGCCGCCGCAAGGGCTAGAAATTCATCTTCCATGGTGGAGTGTAATACACATTTTGTTTCTTCGAAACCCAAGAAACAACTCCACCACCTAGTATAAAAATCTACCCATTGTAGATTTATTACCACTAGCACTTGTTATCCAACTATCATGAGAAACATCTCCCCCACAATTCTCCCACTTGCCAAACTATCATGGAACAATTCCATTTTATTTTCCATTACTTATTGAACTTTCAAACGCTACAATGATCTAATTGTTTACCAATGGTATGGACTTATTAAGTTAGCATACCACAAACAATTCAGATATTATTAGAAATATCATATAATTACTTACCAATGGAATTAATTAAGGTAACTTGAGATGCCACAAGTAATTTAGTTGCATTTCCAGATTGTATTGGAAATACCATCTAATTACTTACGAATGACTTTTCATCAAGGTAACTTGACATACCACAAGCAATTCAAATGAATATTCTAAGTCAATGGTCTAATTACTTGCCAATGGTATAAATTTATACATATACCATAAGTAATTCAGACTTCAAGTTCAATAAAGTCGTCTCAATTATCTCTCATGCCAAATTGTTTGCCAATGGTATATGTCTATATATACCATAAACAATTCTGACAAATAGCTTCACATTCATAATCACAAGTCAAATTGTTTTCCAATGGTATAGTGTACATATACCATAAACAATTCTGACGATGACTATTTTCATGATTATCATTCCTTGACAAGCTTATTCAATCCCTATAAGGATCCATCTTAATTTCATTTTCTTTGCCCTCATGGCATATGAAACATGAAGTCATAAACCAATATATGATAAACAAATTATCATGTCGGGGACATATTTCACCATTTTCCAATTTACTTCAAGATCACTACTCAAACAATTTTGTTATCTAAACCAAATTGTTCCATCTTGCAAGCATCAAAATTGAAACTCATCCAAATTCAAACATAATTGAATTTTCTTGAACTCGTCTCATAATATGAATTATGAGTTTGTTCTCATCTCAAGTACTACAAAAATATTTGATCATTTAATCAAACCAAATGGTTTTCATGATCACCAAATCGATTCTCAATCAATCTTCATATGTGCCAAACCATGTTACACCATAAACACGGAAACACCAATTACCATGCATAGTGATTCAAAAGCAGAACGTTGTATTCAAGCATTGAACTAATTAACAAAGCTTAATATGCCATCATCACACGTCGCATTGCCTTGGTTAATTAATCTCGCCATTCTTTCTTTTCCAAAAACGGTGGAACAAAACAGTGGTTAACGACAATATATATACATGTATAAATATAGAGCCTGTATACAGATTTATACCATTGTTAACGTTGAATGGATTTCATGGCAAACTTAATTAATTGCCCAAGCCCACACGCAATTTCCAGTCAGACCGGTTTGCGTCATTTACATACAAACAGAAACATTTATATACGCATATATATATTTTGCTTTCTCAAATTGGTATTATAAAGAGAGAGGGATAGCATGTTACCAATTTTGATGACCACGGAATTACGCTTCCCTTCCAGTCACCATCCTGTCACTCGTTGAATGCAACGTTTCAATTACCTTTCTGGAAGGACAATTCGTTTCACAATATTCAAACGTTAATTAATTAATATAAAATTAATTAATTAATTAAATTGCCAAAGACTCCATCTTTATAATTTACTTCTCCCATCAATGTCGTATTACAACTCTATTGACTAACTCTAACATTAATGACCCACTGCTCCTCTAGTTCTTTTCAACAAAAGGCTCATGTTTCCCTTCCAACAAGCCAGCTCCTCCTTCTTGCAGCCTACAAGACGAAAAGCAAGTCGTAGAGAGTAAGGTTCAATGACTTTTACTTCTGCTACCAGCTCCGAACGCAATCATGTCTTACACCGC